TTTATTTTTAAATCTTATTTTTGTTAGCATTATTGGCTGTACCATTAAAATAATAATAATAATGAAAGATTGTGCTAAATATGAATTTGCATGGATTCAATACAAAATCTCTTTGAAATTAACGATGGCGTTTGTTTGACGACTATTGTTTTATTAATTTTAAAAGCAGCAGCATGTCTTCTCATTAGTTCATGTGTCTTTATCGAAAATAGAGCTGACAAGTACATTTTTTTCAGCCGAGTATTAGAGTCATAACCTCCAAAGGCATTAGCATGAAAATTAACGTTTCTTAAAAGTTGTTAAGAGATTGATATTATTGTTTTAAGCTGCCATTATCATTAACGTTGTTATGTTCATTAGTAATTAGCATCCTTCTTGTTAACTAAGCCTTTTCCTTATAATTTGCAATCAAAGAACTGTTCGAGGCTATCATGAGAAATAAAAAAAAAAGTGGTGTGAGTATTAGCGTAATGGAGTACCTCTTATTTTATTACTGGAATGTGATAACGCGATTAATACATGTTAAGATTATAACTAATATTACAATTATTATTAATAATCTCATTATTTTCTCTTAGTAAAATTAATCACTTAGAATAGGATTAGATGTCGTTTAGTATGGTACGTGTTCAATTATTTTGCCAATGACAAGGTCGGAGGCCCTGGTGATATTAAGAGTTAAATTAAGTACTAGTGCCTCATGGATGGAAGGAATTTAAGCTGTAGCAAAGTGAGAATGCAAACTGTTTCCGATTAAAAGTTGTGTCTGCATTTTATTAAGAAGGCATTTACCAGATAGTGATGTTATAATCATTAATGCTATTTCTAATACGGGCATAAGTTCCTAATGCTTTTAGAATAAGCACAGCGTGATCATCACGTGAAAACCAGTGGGCCAATGAGAATTTAGGGTAGGTGGCAAGAAACGCTGGAAAACATTATTACAAATTTTACATCTGATTGGTTGAGGGGATGGTGCGAATTTTCTCGACCAATCATAGAAAAGAGGGAAGAAAATCCCGGATGAGATACTGGAAAACTTTTGGCGCCTTTTTACTAAATTAGATTTAATAAGATAAAGGATTAGTATCACTGTTAAAATCAGTGTTAGTATTAGCATGTTAGCGTAGGCATTAGAAGCATGGGTGATAGAATCAGTATAAGTATCGATTAAGAAGTGGAATCATTTGGGAATCGATTCTAAGTAGCACAAGTATTAGTATTAGCTCTACTGTTTAGCGTTTAACCCGGCATCAGATATGAAATTAGGAAGTGAAGCAAGAGGAGCATAGCGTTTAAATATGTTTAAGTCTGAGAATTAAAGCAAGATTATTGAAATTAGTCACAAAAGGTACAATTATGGCGAGGGTTAGTCGCAGAAAAAACTGCATATAATGTTAAGGTACTGATATAAGACATGCATCGCCATTAAGCTTCGCCCATGTTACCATATAGACGGCTTGGATTACGGCCAATATGGTGGTGTTAATGTGAGTGGCCAATATGGTGGTGTTAATGTGAGCGGTATTAATTGTATCATCTATTTTGTGTCATACTGACCAGTTAAGCAGCATTCCAGTTAGCATTAGTAGCATATTAGAGCCTGACCGGACATTTGCTAGATGAAAGATGTCAAGATTAGAAACCCTGAAAGAAAGTATTAGTCAAAAGTATTATCAAATGACTGGAAAGAAACGAAGGGCAAACGTGTCTTTCAGGTGCAAAGCTTTCAAAGAAGCGAACGTTAGCGCTCGTGTAATTTCGATTATTCTTATTTTGAAAAGCCCGTCTGCCTATATCAATGAGGCATATTGATTTATACTTAGTACTCACGTGTGGTTGACGTGTCACTTCGTATTTACTTATTAGACTCGAAAAGAAAATCAAACAATGCCAGATGTTAGTTTAAAAGGTTCAAAGTTCCTTCATATGGTAAGCCTATTAGTACTGGCTTTCTTAGCTGAATTAAAACCTGAAAAACATAAGGTTACATCATAGCTAAATGCATCGCAAGATCGTTATTGATTGTGTTATGAGGCACTTGATACGAAATACATAACAAGTACGTGGTATGGCATAAGTTAAGTTTGGATATCAAATGTAATGAAATGTAATGTGCTTGCGGTTATTTGGAAGTTTACTCAGAAGTAGTGACCATGTTAAAAAACAAACTGTTAGTACAAAATGACGGCCATGGTTGTTATCTGTGATGTTGAATTGCTGATTTTTCACTCTCTGCAATGTTAGTGGCGAACATTTGAGTTATCCTTTCCAGTATAATATGATCAGGTAAGTTGTGAAGAGGTTTGTTAGTCTGTGATTTGGCAGCGGAAAATGCGGTACAGATATGACTGCTCTCTTGTAATTATTGAGTGTGCTCAGCCAGCTGTTCTTTTGATCATGTCGTGTTCAGTAAAGAGCCACTGATGGCTGTCGCAGGCAGTGGTATGAGAATTTTGTCAAGTTATCATTAGCAAACAAGGTGTCGTCCATGTTTTCAAACCATTCTTAGAGCTTGGCGAGGCTATTAGCTACAAGAGAGCTTTCGATTGAATGTCGTGAGACCATGACCAGGGAATTGCATCGGCCAACCAGATGAAAGAGAAATTTCTTAATCAGCCAATAGGAACCCAAACGGAACCCAAACAACTTACGTTAAGCGCGGGAAAACGTTGGTGACGAAGTAGTGATTGGTTTTAGCTTTTAATCTGATTGGTCGGAAATTTAGCACGAGTTTTCTCGACCAATGACAGAGCGTGGTAAAGTAAAAAACCAAAGCAATTCCCGATTACTTCCAACACTCAATCGAAACTTTCTCTGAGATGCTGGTATCGTTACGTTAACTCTGAAATGTGAAGTCCTCTCCTGAGCCCTGCAAGGACATTGTAGCTTGCTCTGGCTGTTTCCTGTTAATTCCAGTTGTGAACAAAATGCTGAGGTTTTCCTATCAAAAATAAGTGTAACAGACGCAAAAAGTAAATAATTACTGGAATGAAAAAGTTAAAAAGAAGCCCATACAGCAGTAAGAAGATGATTTGGAAGTAACAAGTTGAAAATTAATCGTAGTCTTGACTTTCGTTTTCCTTTGAGTTCTTTTATGACACTGAAAAATCTCGTAAAAATGCTCTACACTAATTTGTGTTCTCTTTTTTTTGTGGATGCCGGAGCCTCTTATTCTCTCACTCTTACGGTCAGCTCTGTCCAGTCATGTTTAGCCTTTCAAAGTCATCTGCTCTAGAGGCAAGAAACAGACAAAATTTTGAAAAATTGCCTTCTGGAAACAGAGTGGTTTTTTAATTCAAACTTAAAACGCGGTTCAACTTCTTTTATCAAATGGAATTTATCTATTGGCATTTAACAAGAGGATGTAACAGATTATAGAATGCTTTTTGATTGCGTATTGTATAAACAAGGTCAAAGTTATTAGAACAGACAATCAGAAGAAAGCAAAATACTTTGCAGAGCCAATCAGAACTCAAACTGTATAAAGCGCGGAAAAACGCGACGGACCAAGTTCTGGTTGATTTTATTTTTGCATCTGATTCGTTGAAAGAGCGGCGCGAGTTTTTCTGGACCAATCACAGAGTGAAGTGAAGCAAAACTAAGGCAATTCCGGATTGCTTTCGATATTCAATTGAACACTGATCTATACGAAAATCATGTTTTAAGTCATATTAAAGGAACCGCCCCAAAGAAAATCTTCATTATTTCTGATTTGTCAGTTTTCATTACAAACCCTCAAAGAATTTTAACCTATATTAACTGGTGTTAGTGTCGCAATTTTATTTTCATAGAGCTAATATATTATTTCCAACTCTCTTTGAAAAGGTTCTTTTCAAGGAAAAATATGGGTTGTATGCTATTGTCTTAACGTGAAACGAATGTGTCGGTTTAATGTCTTTCACAAACTAAGGTCTACGTGGTTTTTTAAGACAGCGGAACTGCGAAGTTTGATATTTCTTTGACGCCAACACGAGTGAAACCCAACTCAAATTTGATTGTACCTTCTGAAAAGTCTTCACTGAGTTTGTGATTTATACGTACCACTCACCTGTTGATGAACGCATCAGATGTCAAACAAGGATGCTAGCTTGTAACTTTCACCTGCTGTTTGAGTTTAACGCCTTGTTAACTGTTAATAAAGTGTCACAGCCTTTTGAATTCCCCTCTGGAGCTCGCCCATTGTAGTCTTTCTCGTTGTTTAACAACAAGCAGATGAACAAAAGGTCTGCTTCGTTTAGTTTTTCAGACTTGCTTCACACACACTGGGAGAGCCTTTGCTGAGTGATATCATACTTATGATATAGCTTTACAGATCTTTCTGTCTCTCATTTTTGGTGGGGACTCCACTGTTCTCTGTTAAAGTTCACTTATTGTTCATTTGGATGGAATGGAAACTTTGTTCTTCTCTGCCATTACCGCATTTATGGCTAAATCAGTACGAGTCTTGCTGCGTCCTCGAAGGTATGGTCTTAAATTTTGGGTGATTCGTCTTCGGGGTCGTTTTCTTCTGTACTTGACATTGTTTGGCAGATAAAACTGCTCATGCCATCAGCAATCTGCGCGCATTAAAAAATAAATCAAGGGTTGAAAGGATGGAAATTGACTTTCCTAGAAAATCGTTGTTTAATCTGGCGATTTATGTAACTGTCAAAGATATAAAAATATACCTTTTTACTCACCTGGTTCTAGGTTGATATCGGTCAGTATCGGCCCTGTGAGCACAGCATGAACGCTTCGTGGGAGAATGAGTGACTCGCGGCAGGGTCAATTGGTTTTACGTAACTTTTTTCAATAGCGTAAGACCGGATGAAATCATTTTCTTTACTGCGCTTTGATTGGCTAGAATCCCAAGTTGTTGATGTAATAAACTATTCATAAATGGTTTTGTGGATGACTCGGTTGAAATGGCAGCGACCTTTTGAGACAAACATAACAGGTGATTCGGTTCTGTCGGTATGTAGTACCTGGTTTGGTTAAGTGACCGTGACACAAAAATACAGTGGAAATTATTTTGGTGTGACCATAGTATGACTCGTGCCAATCATTACAAACAGAAGGCAGTTTGTTCCATCAATTATCTCCTCTTTTTCGTGGACTTCTGAAACAGTAGTGTGGGATAGCTATTGCGATTCGCAGCAGGTGGAGAGCAGGGAGTTTACTTAACACATGCTCAAGCAAACAACTGAGTGAACAAAATAAATAGATGGATTCACCGCCTGAAATTCAAAACAAAACTTACATTTAGCAATTTGTCCCACAGGTAATATTGGATATCACCAGTTGACAGTTTATTTTTCTTCTAAGAATTCACAATAGAATTTTTCCACTCAAACGGACAGAAGTGTCTGGCTATTGAATGACCTAAGACTTCTCAAGGGCCATAAGAAATCATCATCTGGGCGGCTTATTCGAAAATCTGTGTTCACCCTGAAAGTGTAGACATTGGATACGATGATGCCATTCTGTTTTTAAAGATGATACAAATAAGTTTGTTTTCTGGAATTAGGGAAAATAGCCTGAAAAATCATTAGTTATACTACAATTGCCATCGGACAAATGTCAGTTTTTTTAGCTTATAGAAGACGAGGTCGTCAGAATACATTAAGAAGCTGATCTGATAGAAAATGACATTCATTTAGAATATCTTTGTATTCATATCTTTGTATTTCAAATTCATAGCATAGGGATTAGTCTTAGCTCGATCAAAAATTATGTTAGCTAGGAGAATTCATCGGTTCGTCATAATCAGTTAAATATTCCCTTAAAACGTGTTACCAGTCTGTTCAAGTGATAATGTGAAAATATCAGAAATTATGATCACAAGCAATTTCGTTTTGTTTCCTCGTCTCATGCGAATAATGTTTCTCTGATCAGTTAAGGATATTTCATGACTTCTGTTTCCCTTTAAAATTAACACATCGATAGTGGTTTAGCATCGATTCGGTTTTTTACCAAAATATCGACGCCAAATAAAACGATTCTTCCAGTGCGTGACACGCCGACGCGAGCAGCGTTGTCTGGACTCTTATCGACAACGACAAATTGGGCAATCAGATTGAGACATTACTACCAATTGTGGTAAAAAGTGAGATCTGTCTCAAAAAACTGCTGGTAGCTATTTACTTTTTAATCGGTCAATAAACTGTTAAAAATCAGTGAAAGGTTCCGGCAGTTCTGTTTTTCTTTTGAAAAAAAAAAAAAGCCATTTAAGACTAATTCTAATTGTTTAAATCTGCTGGAAACAAATCTTCTGAGATTAGTTTTAACGGAACAAACTGTAAAGTTGTTATCTATTTCATGTGAATGTTGTTCGATGAGATAAAATGTTAAAAAAATACCCGATTTTTTAAATATTGCTGGTAATTTGGCTTCTTAAGTGAAACTGGGTATTTGGCAATTTTGACCACTTTTGTGAAACAAGCTTTCAGCAGAAACGTTCATCTTCTCAATGCTAAAAAGCAGTCTCACGTAATTAAAAATGGCAACCTCTTTGAGGTTAGAGGCGGTCTTAACAAAGGCGAAAAGGTTCATTTGCCTCAGTAAGACATAATCTTATCAGAAATGCGATAAAGTTACCTTGTCGACTCATCAAATAAGAAATGGTGTCTTCAACGTTATTGCGCATGACAAGCCATAATCCTACCTTCATAAACCTCCACTCTCCTCAGAAAACCTCTCCTTTTATTACATCAAATTAGATTAGGTTCCCCACTTCAAGAACTCGATCAGTCTATTGGGACGCACAGGTTACTGTCATACACATGTAATATCTTCAACTCTTATTGGTCCACTCCCACTCTAGGGGGACCCCATCACAGGAGGCCAACGGGAAGGCCTCCATCAAGACATCCGTTTGGAGGCCCTCCCAGTGCGAGACCTTCGAGGCCTTCGGGACATCCCATAAGGAGAGGAGCCGGTGAGTAAACTAAATCTGTCTTGAGTGCTTTTTATATACCTGCGTGGGCCAGTGATTATTCATCGCTTGGGTGGGGGCAGCGGAGGGAGGGATCGGAGGATTTTAGGAGATCACACGGGTTTTAGAGGGAACAGTGGAGGAATCAGACGTCACCAACAGAGTATAAAGGGGGACTATAGAAAACTGACTGTCGATTAACCACCACTAAGGGGGGATCAGGTACAACTTATCGTGTATCATGTCTTTTTTTACACCCAGTCTCCATCTTTTAGAAGTGTTTACTGTAGCTGACAGCTAGACCAAACGCTCAGCTCCTTTTCTCTCCGCTTTGCTTTTCGTTTGAGGAGCGCGCGCGGCATAGGAGAGAGAGAGAGAGGTAATGCTTGTTCGTGGAAAGGAAGCCTCAGAAAAATGTATGGCCCCCATTCAAATTATCAACACTGTGTTGAACGACATGACCAATGTTCGTGATGCGTCTACCTCACCAAGGACATGTTCCGTTTTTCATTTTCCAGAAGCAGAAATTTCCAGGTGTCTTCTGGAAGATGTATCATCTATTCTAACTTCCCGATTAAGCGCTAAGACCGGAAAAGACAACTTCGCCGCGTACTTCGCCGGCTGCCAACGGAACGGAAGCTACAAGTGTCATCAGAAGTGGCCAGCAGTTGGTTTATCGTGGCAATCAGATCCTCAAGGACGCGTAATGGAGAACACTTTGACAAGGGGAAAGAGTCAGTGTTCGCGTGAAAGAGGTATCACAGATTTTGTCAGCGTTTCAGATGTCCGGACTTGGGCTCGTAAACCCCATTAAACCTTTGACCTCTAAGAGTGACCAACATCTAAATTCTCCTTACATTATCACCTCTAAATCACACCGATTACGGTCACATCTAATTTCTCCTTACATTATCACCTCTAAATCACACCGATTACGGTCACATCTAATTTCTCCTTACATTATCACCTCTAAATCACACCGATTACGGTCACATCTAATTTCTCCTTACATTATCACCTCTAAATCACACCGATTACGGTCACATCTAATTTCTCCTTACATTATCACCTCTAAATCACTCCGATTATGGTCACAAGAATGATGCAAACGATCACCAACTAAAGACGCCCTTGATTGTTAAACAAATTCTCCTTGTCAGCACCTAAGGAAATCTATAGAGAACGGTTTGGAGAATATGCATACTAATGTCAGGGTTTGAAGGGTTACACTTTCTGAGCACGATAGGAAGAGAACACAAATGTGTTTTATACTTTGACGTGTTTCTTTCGATTGGTTTTACCTGTGTTTCATAAATTCCATCTAGAAATGTTTCTTAATTGCTCTGAAATTATTTCTTCAGGAAAAGGAAGATGGTTGCTCCTATAAAAGCAAGCAGACAAAATGTTAAAAGTGGATTTATTTAGATTTCAGGTTTGCCCTGATATGCACTCGAGGTTCAAGAAAGTTGCAATGTAAGCGAGGAACCATTCTTTCCTTTGTGGACATTAGAACAACTCACATCCACACCCCTGACCACAAGTGCAGTCGTTACAGAAGAAACAATGGCAACGCTACGGTGGCACGTGATCGTCACTGTACCGTGACTAAGATGATCGAAGAATTACGCAGCCGTTGCCAAGGGAGACAAGAATGCTGGATAAAACTCAATGAAAGACTTATCGGGAAAGCTTGCATCAGAGAGGTGACATTCTTACGGGTGAATTACACTTGTGAACAAAGTAAGTATCTTAGAAGTTTGATTTAGGCTGGCTCACGATACCGTTTTCGTCTATTGAAAGGTTAAATGACTTTTTTCATCGATGTTCGCATCTAATCAGTAACTTCCTCCATCGTTACAGCAGTTTTCGGCAGTTTAGAGCAGTGTCGAAAGTAATCCGCGACAGCTTTGGTTCTGCTTACTTCGCTCTGTGATTGGTCCAGAAAAGTCTCACCACTCTCTCAACCAATCAGATGCAAAACTAAAATCAATCACGACTTGGTCGCCTGCATTTTCCCGCGCTTTAGACAGTTTGGTCGGTTTTACTTTGAGTTCTCATGGGCTCTTAAGGGTATTTCCCTTTTTCTGACTTGCCGTTGGGTAGCTTTAGTTTTGGTTTCATTAAATGTCCTTCTGCCTTTCAGGTGTTTACTCCGAAACATCTGTTTTTCCAGCCAGGACCCAGTTGTTCAAAGGCCGATTAGTGCTAACCCAGGGTTAAACTCTAATCCCGGTTTCTATATTTCTCTGTTCAAAAGCAGTTTTGGAATGATATTCTCAATTCTTTTTAGAGCAATCAATAATCAAATTTTAGACAACTGGAATTACACTGAATTTTCTTATGAAGCTTACAGATCTAAAATCAAATTTCACACTAACCCTGGGTTATCTTATAACCCATCTTTGAAAAAACCCAGCCCAGAACAGGGCCCAGTTGTTCGAAGGCCGATTAGCGCTAACCCAGCAGGGTTAAATTCAAATCCAGGTTTCTATATCTCTCTGCCGGTTCAAAAGCCTTTTTGGCATAATTTACCCAATTCTTTTCAGAGCATTCAATCATAAAATTGTAGACAAATGGAATTACACTGCATTTCTTTTAAAGGTTTCAGATCTGAAATCAAATTTCACATTAACCCCGGGTTATCCTAACCCATCTTTGGACAACCCGACCCTGACTTTTAAAAAGGAAAATTAGGGTGTATAATCAAGAGTTAAAATCTTATGTTAACAGGGATGATTTTGCCATTGGTAAATACCATACGGTATCATGTGACCGTATTGTATAGAATTATTTCCATCAACCTGGGTGCTTTGGATAGCTCATTTTCATACGTAGACGAACCAGCGCTATATCTAACTGTATTCTCCATTTACTATAAAGGAACAAGTGAATTGGTTGAAAGTTCTGAGAGACTGGACCGTCCAACGTATCCGGATTACCTTGACAAGCTATGCCCCGAGACTTACGACGAAGAATCAGGAGACGAAATCAGCGATGACGACATCAGTGATGATGGTGACGACAACACTTATGACGACTACGATGGTGATGATGGCTGGAGTGATAATGATGATGAGGACTACTGCAGGGGATATAACTAAGATGCTCGTGATATTCTCGAAGATGAAATGGCTCATATGAAGGGTTTACTGTTCACACTGTTTGAGCAGAAGAGAGGAAAAAATCGCCGCCCACGGTATAACTGGATTAAACAACCTGACTTGTACAACGAATTCAAATTTAACCCTCCTTCAGGTAAGACCGAAAATTACAGCCATTTTAGGGGGTTTGCTTGGTCGAGGGAGAGAGGAGAGGGGGGAGGGTGTCATGTGACTTCATTCTCTGCCAAGAACTAGTTATAACTATGACACAACACAATTAACTTTGCATGCTATCATTTTCAGTAAGGAACTAATTTGGGAATATCTGCTGGTATCAGGTTCAGGGAGTGGCGCTCGCCTCCCACTGCTGTGGTGCAGGTTTGATTCCCAGACCTGGCGTCATATGTTGAAAAAGTGGAAAAGAAGAGCTACATCGTGGAAAATCCGCCGCTAAATTCCCATTTATTTACTCCCACTATGAAATTTCATCCCTAGCCCCCGTCACCCACAATATAAAGAGGGTCAGAGGGGAGATGGAGTGACCTGGGGGGAGCGTAGCTTGACACCCCAAACAATGGCTGCAAAGGAGACTCAGATCAGAAGGAAAGTAATGAATTCAAAACAAAATAAGTGTCAAAAATCTGAGTTCCGCGCAAGAAAACATCGTTGTATTAAGGGTACACTGGTCTAGCAATGAAAGAAAAAGTAAAGTCTGCTTACAAGGCAAGTGGCCCATCACGCCGGCGCTTAACTCTGGTTTCTTTAGCATGAAGCGACTAGGAGTATTTCTACTCCCCCCTGGATGGGATGCCAGTCCATCGCAGGGTTACCCCCAGCATTAAATTTGCCGGTACCCATTCAAACACCTGGGTGAAGAGAAGCACTGTGAGAGTGAAGTGTCTTGCCTAAGAACACAACACGATGTCCCCGGCCGGGGCTCGAACACGGACCACTCGATCCGGAATCTAGCGCACCAACAGTGAGGCCACCGCGCCTCCACCAGCAATCAAAGAAAACAATGATCGAAAGATTTTAATCTTATTCTATATCTGTGTATTTTATACATTTTTAGAACTTACCTATTTTTTTATTCATTTATCTATTCATGCTATTTTTCAGTTTGCCCAGAGAATCTCCCATTACTGTCGAATTGCAACCAGAACCTGTGCAAGAACGTGAAGTGTGACAATGAAAGGAATTTCAGCTGCAGGGTCAACCCATGTGGAACTTGCAGACCCGAGTGTTACGATGTGAAAGGACACAAAGTGCAGACTCCTCGAGGTAACAATAAAAAGTGACCCGCTTCTTGATCTGGTCTTTGCTCAGGAGCTGGAGGTGATATCCAGCTCTAATTCGGGAATTTTACGAAACAAAATTCGTCCAGGCTTCAATTAAATTAACTTGTATACGCATTCCCAGAAATCAGGTCTTATCCGCAATGTCAAGATTTGGTCATGCGTAGGAAAAGATCGATGTTCTGCAAGTCTGACGGAAACTTCTCAATTCCTGGTCATTCTAGCATTACCACAAGCTATTGTCTTAATACATACCATCCTTGTGAGAATATTGTTTTCGTTTTACAGCCTTAACAAGGTGCGAGTATCAGCGTATAGAAATGCGACGCCATAGTCTTTACAGTTACGTTCCGAGATGTAATGAAAATGGAAGCTTTGCTGAAATTCAGTGTTAGCATGAGGTCAAGAAATGTTGGTGTGTTGACGAAGAAGGAAGAGAGAGGAACGGTACAAGACAGAGAGGAGCACCCTCGAATTGTAGCGAAGGGGTCCAAGGTAAGAGAAACAAATACACTTTGTCTTTGAGTTTAGATAGCAATTCGTTGAGATATAGTTATTAAGTGTCTTGGAGAAACAGGTTCCGGATTCGTCTTTTTGCTAGCCTCGACTTGATGTGCTCAACCCACATTTTCTGACGGTAGTTTACATATTACTGAGGAACGAAAATAATGTTTAACAAGCATCCCCGCATCTTATATAGTTGCTGCCTAGCCCATTTCCTCCGAGAGTATGTGAGGGGTTAGCAACATTTATAAACGGCATTACAGTTTAACAAATCAGATTGTCAAAGATAAAGATCGAATCGCTGATTCGCTTTAACCGAACTGAAGCACGTTGTCCAGGTTTTCGTCTTTCAATTAAACGAAATATGTAAGTTTAAATACGATCGAGTATGCAAAAGAATTATTCAGACTGATCTGTTATACCATGGTATCGTTTTAGTTTTGTCACCCTGTCAAACAGCCCAACTTAACATCAAAGATCTGGGGGAACAATTCTGTGTGATGTCTGAGAGGTACGAACGGACTGCAAAGACTTTGAAACTTAGAGCACAAAATGCAACACTGTGGAGGAAGCAAAATAATGAAAGCTTGCGACTTGTTTGGCAGCGGGAAAAAATCTGCCGTAAGCTTACACGGGTAACTCACCTGTACGCGATAAATACAAATGTACCGACTTGTGCAGCAGACGGAAGTTATGACAGCAAACAGTGTACATCGTCTAGAAAATTCTGTTGGTGCGTTGACAAAAATGGGAGGCCGAGGGAGAAAATGCAAATAAAACGATACGAAGAACTCAACTGTTCCAAGACTGCAGCTGGTAAGAATGAGGTAACATAGGGTTGTGAAAGAATATAAGGTAGGGGTAAGTGTGTTTTTGAGCCAAGAAGCCCATTGGTGGGAGCATAATCCAGCTTGCCTGCAATGATCAATTCTTTTTCTTTGTAACCTGCGGAGGTCAAAAATGATTTATTTAATTCAATTGTTACTTATTGCTATTTTAATTTGGTGCTTTGAGTGAGGATAAGAGAATGACAGACCTCATGGAGACCAATTTTGTCGATGAAAACTGCGTATATAAAATATGAACTCATTTCTTTAACAAGAATTCACGATGGGTATTTTCTGCTGCGAAGAGACTCCCGTTTTCGCCTAAAGCTAAAGATATTTGAATTGGAGTCGACTTCTCCATGCCAAGGTCTGAATTGTTCCTCTGTGTTTCCTCGTTTTCTTATGAAATAGAAGGTCTCAAATTCGTTTGTCACTGGCTTGAATTACTGAAGTCCCCTCCTTTCAGTAACTTGCGGAAAACAATCACTCGTCCCTCATCATCCACAAGTTGAATATGATTAATCTTTTTCACTCCGAAGGTCTTTCAATTTCAGCTATGAAAATGTTGGTGTTGGATCAAATAGTATCCCCTTGTTGATATTTATGGTACTTCTTTACAGTTTTCTGGTAGATAAGTATTGCTTGTGTGATGAGAAAATCCTTTTTGGTCACACCTGTTAATGATCAAATTGGATGGTGCCAAATATACACTGTAACATGTAAATTTTCTTTCCTCAATGTGGGTACAGATCACGAAAAACGCTGGACATGTTCTTCGCTGCTAAGATCTGGACAGAAAACGAGACGCATCTGCAGAAAGCACGTTGACTGTTCTGACTCAAAAGGCATGTGCTGTAGGTCCAGCAGGTCCAGGAATGGAAACAAAGTTTGTTTAGACCCGCCACCAAAGATGCCAGAAAGTAAGTGAAAGTTCCAGCTTAGTGTAATATAATTGAATGATAGGAAAAGCATCAGAAGATCTCAGTGGGTTTTAGTGCCATAATTGATATGCAAGTTGAAATAAGGAGTGTGCTTGATACAATTGAATGGAACTTGTTTCTTGACATTTGAAGAGACGCATGTTGATCAGCTAGTATAGCTTCCTTTCAGAGCAGCATATAGAAAATTTTCGTGTCCAGTCATGTCCAGGTTTTAGATCAACAAAATAAGTCAATGAAAATCTATACTAATTTTGTTGAATACTTGGTTAGACATTTTCTAGAACATTTTGGTTCCAAAAATTAGACCTATTTCACTGTATAATAACAAATCTTATCAGCGTAACACGTTCGTCGCACACGAATCTAAAATATGGCCTGAACTATCAACTGATACTCCAGGGTTAAAATCAGTTACGTACTAGATCCGACCCAGATCACCAAACCAAAGAATTCTCTTTAACTTAGTTGGTAGGATATGCACGCCGCTTCCACAAGATCAGTTCTAGCCAGGATGTTCTTAGTTTTCTCGAGTAGAAAAAAAATGTGTTCATGTCATTTAGTGATTCAAAGCCTTTCCCTCGCAGAGAAACCAGGACTGTGCCCCGATGTGCCAACATCCCCCACCTACAGTTGTAAATCCCAATGTGAGACTGACGCCAACTGCGAAGGCGAACACAAATGCTGCATGATGGGATGTGGGAAGACGTGTGTTCCTCCCAACGAACCAGGTAAGATGTAGGCATGTTCTTGTATCTTTTACTTTTTTAGGATCTTCATTTTCCTTCGCAAATGAAAGAAATGAAAAGCTAGAATGACAACAGCAATACAATAAGCGAGGAACTCGACCCTCAAACCTGAAGCCTCACAAAAGAGAAAACGATATCTTCCTAGGATGGATCCTTCCTGCATGGGTCATAACAGGAAGTATCACTGGTGTGTTAGGTTCCCTTAATCTATTCTACACTAATGATCGCATTAGTATTTGCACAACTAGATTTAGATCTCTTTAATAAGAGGGATGAAAATAATATTTATTTAATTGCAGTATGCCCTAAGGACAAGCCTTTTAAACTGTGCATCTATGACAAGTGCCTCTCATCCCCGGGCTGTTTCAATCATCCCTCAGCCTATTGTCGAATGAATTACTGTGGAGGATGTACTGCTGAATACTTTAATAACTACAATCGAAAAGTAGACTGCATTAATGGTAAGGATGGGTCTTTATTACTTCAAATTATTATAAATGCATAGCACGAATCTCCATACAGCCGTCATCTTGATCATAATTTCAGACATCTTTTTAGAAGATGTGACATACTTACTTTAAACATTACCAACCAGGCAGGTGGCTTTGTGGCCCAGTTGATGATTGCAATATCGGGAAGGTTCGAAACTTTTCGAAGTTTGAGTTTTCTTGGGCTTTTTTTCTTGTCGTTTCTACAATTGCAGACCATACATACATACATCATACATCACTTTTATTTCACCTCGGATTTACAAGAGTACCTATATAGCTAATTTCTTCGAGAAAGAGAAAGAAAATTGAATAAATAAGTAAATAAATAAATAAAAACAAATAGTGTCGTATATTATATACATTACATTACACTACTATTTACATAAGTAAAACTGCTTCTTGGATTTTTTGGGCTTTTAAAGGAATGAAAATTATCGGAATCGACCGTTATCAAACTTATGATCATCAAAATTGACTGACCTCCCTCGACGATACTGAAAAGAGAAAAATATAACTATTTCTGAGTAAGGTATTTGCAAACTTATCTTCGTAGGAACTCAGTGCCAAACTCAACGACATTTGGCCTCAGAAATATACAAGAAGAAGTTTTTCGGAGTCTTTGGTTCTCTGCCAATGGTCATTCCAGGATCTCAAGTTGAAGACTACAGTCACAGGCCAAGTGAAAGTGATGGAGACAGTAATGGAGGACAGAGAAGCAACACGAAAAATCACCAACATGGAGGTAGCGTTGGTGGACAGCATGAAAATGGTGGTGGCCGAATCGGCAGTAATGTTCGCAACCATCGTATAGAGAATGGATATCCAAATGGTGTTTCAGGAGCAAGTGGTTCAAGTGGGTCCAGCGGATCAAGTGGAACGAGTGGGTCCAGTGGCTCAAGTGGTTCAACTGGCTACAGTGGATCCACTGGATCCAGTGGAAGTAGTGGATTCAGAACACGAAGGAGAGGAAAAAGATCCATTAATGGATTTCGGAATGGAGATCAATCTGGACAGGAAGGACGTACAAGCAAAAGGAACGAAAGCAATAGGAGGTAAATCTTTAGGAGCCTTCTTAAGTCTTCTACCGATTTGATTTATGAGTCTTTGTCGTTACTGTGCTGCCTTCGATGTCTTTTATCTTAGCTGCAAGCTAAAGTATAGTACTTGATTTAACTAGGAAATAATGAGCTGTACTCTTTCAAGACGAGTGGGCTAATACTTCCAGAGCTCATCCCAGTTTGCTCCTGGAGAGGATCTACCGCTTTTCCATCGCAAGCAGGTCCCGTAGCAATTCGTCAAGTCTCCCTGACCGTTTGCTGGTGTCCATTTACACACATAAGTAGAGTGGAGCACTGTGAGAGTGAAGGGTGTTGCATGAGAACACATCAGAACGACCCTGCCAGGCTTTCATCCTATACATCTTTATCTGCATTTTAAATTGCTAAATTATAGTACTCAATAACTATTGACGGGACATCGTATCTCTCACACAAAACGTAATAGACATGTAGAGTTTATTTGCAGTGTCATGTCTAACCAAGGTCATTTACTGATTTTGATTGAATGACTGACTGTCTTATGTAGGGAAGTGGACCTTGGTGTCTTCGTCCCTGTCTGTGATTCAAGGGATGGAGAGTTCATACCAGAACAGTGTAACGCCACGGCTGGTGTGTGTTGGTGTGTGGACGGAAATGGGCAAGAGATAGTTAATACGCGTGAAAAGGTGCCAAGAGGAAAATGAAACTGTGCAGCAGCTGTTATTAAGTCGAAAAGCGATGAAAAGAAAACTGGTAAGTCGAGGTCATTATCAGATAATGAATAGCCAGATGTTACAATTCTTGGGATGTGATTGCCTCATTCAAGCTGCACGATATATTATACCACAGGAAAAACAAACCTCGCTTGTGTATCATCATGTCATAAGTTTTACAGAATACTTAAGTACCAGCCGTTATTTATTGCTTGGGCGGGTGAAAGATTTTGGAGGGATCACATGGTTTTCAGGGGGAAGGGATTGGGGATCAATCGTCACCAATAAAGTATATACCCTAAGCAGTCAACTGCCTATGAGGTGGGGGAATAGATGAATTTTATCGTGCGTGACACAATCAAAATCCTCCTCCGATCCCTAGGGATATTTTTTATGATTGCTGATGCTCACTATTGAAATGAGGAACTCCTTTAACTTTTCCGACCAAACTTTTTTTAACGGTTTTGTTGAAATAACTTTTTTGAAATACTAATTGTTTAACTAGTTGTTGTCCGTTTCTATCTGTGCGAAATCTCAAGATAATTTTTCAGTTTGTTAGAACATTTCTATCTGTTTTTGATCGAAAAAGTGGTGGGCCTATCTCAGCACGTAATTTTGATAAAAATAGCAGTTTTTGAATCTAGTGCCATCTAAAGGTCTAATTGTCTTAGAAATGCGCGATTCAAGTTGTGACGTTTTAGCTCTAGGGTACAAAATACTGTTTACAATTTTGGTGGAAATATTACATAATACATTAAGCTTCATTTTTCAGCAATTAGGAGATTTTCACCTAAGATTTTCACATTAAATACTTCGGGGTATATGCTGGTCTCTAGAGAGCGGAGGGTTTAAAAGACTGTAAAAGGCTTGCTCTCTAAGCTCTTATATGTGCACGATCCTCGCAGTAACTGAGCACTATTTAAGCAATAGTGACAAGTAGTCCTGAAAAAAAATTCAGGCCTATACATGATTCGAACCACTGACCTCTGCGATACTAGTGCAGCGCTCTATCAATTGAGGTAACAAGCCAACTGGGAGCGGGCCATCAAATTAATTCGACTTAAACCCGTAAGATGTTAGTTGAACTGAAAAAAAACATTTCAGCTTGAATTCTAATTGCTTTTACATTATTTTATATGTCAAACGTGGAGAAGGAAAGAGGGGGCAGAATGAATTGAGGTAAATATTACAAACCTTCTAAGAAATTGCTAGATTTTGTTTTAACAAGCCCAACAAATAACTTCGTAGGAAGACCGATCCTGTAGTCCCACTAGTATACTTTTTAGCGGAAAACTCTATAAGGGCGGACTTCATACGTGGGGTTTGATTGAGTAAACAACTTAATTCTATTACTAGAACGCCGTGAGCAGGTGTTGAGAGCGCACTTTTTCCATTGCGGTTTCCAACTTTACCATTCTTAATAAAGAATCCCTCAGAGATTCCGTAGGCTCTCAGGACTCTAAGATTTAGAAAGGCTATAATTAATGAAATAAACCAAGGATTTCACAACAGGTTACAACCGATTTGACAACGTGATCATGGAAATTGGTGAGGGAGGTCCTTTTTAAACTTTTACATATTTATCCCCTTCGCAGGGTGGCAAGAGTAAGTTTAAAGCTGGTGGGGGATTTTGATGAAGTCACAGGCAACAAAGAAAACTTTATCAGGTGAGAACATTTAAAGATAAGCTTTCCAAGTCAAAACAAATACACTCCCGGATAATTTTCCATACTTGTTTGAGTAATATTTTTAAACGGAAGGGCTAGGAGAGTGAACGGATGGAACCAAGAGAATTTTATATCCTATTAACCAAGCGCAAGGGCCGTACTGGGAGAATATCGGCCCGAGGTCTTGACAGTACAGACGGAGCGCAGCGAGGTCCGTACAAAAAAGACCGAGGGCCGATATTCTTCCAGTACGGTCCCGAGCAAGCTTGGTCAATAAGAGATTTATTATACGACTGAAGTTCAAAGGGACGTAAGTGCGGTATCATTCGGGACCATTCGGGACAGTGCCCGGTCCAATACTGAGAGAATATTGACCGGCAATAGAGCATTTTGATTGGTTGATTTTAGTTATTGGCCCTCTGCCTGCCCGAGTCGTGTAATAAGAACTGATATTCTCTTGATGGAACCTTTATTGTTAAAAGGTGGGACATAATGGGAACCTCTGAGTAGTTTTAACCTTAATCATCTCCATCTAGCTGTCTTCATTATAACTATGAGGGATTCATTCTATGCAAGTCATTGATTTGCATCTTGTTTTCCTGATTTTCCCCTAGGTACACCAAGGACGAAATTGTCAAAAAATCTAATCATAAGATCAGGAAGAAGCAAATTCGGAATATTAAGGTAGCTGAAATAACTACAATAAATAACCTCAACGTAAACTTAATGGAAATCTAAATGTATTTCCAGTTGTCTTCCCACAAACACGGAAGGTCAATTTTTGCCATAAGAAGTGTTTTACTTGCCACAAGGTCACCCAATTCGCTATTCTTTTAATATATGGAACCGTGGAGTGACAATCTCAAGGGTTTCATTACACTGGCGCACCTCTTGAAAAGTAGAAAACAAACCAACGAATAACACTGAAAAAAAAATTGAACAGAGCAAAACATAACAAAAAGGAAAGAAACTAATACCCAAACATTTACTCTACCTTTCACTCATTTACTTCCTGCCATTTTCAGTTCCCGGAGAGACCAAAATGAATTGATTTCTCCTTACGGTATTTTAATAAAAAGACATTTTCAAGCAAGGGGGTAAGGACGAAGAGGACGATTAACATGCAGACGATATTGTTTGAATTCACAAGAACTTCTCTCAGCAAAGATTATGCGAAATTTAAGGCGGAAGAAAAGTAGGAAAAATTCATCTCTAAACGTTGGGAGTGAAATGGGTTGAAATGAGGAAGCGATATCTTACAAGAGGGAATGAAACATTAATAAGTATGCCCAAGTTACCTGAATGCTAATATGAAAATTTTTCAACTTGGACGATCAGCTTGAAAGAGGAAGCATCAAAGTGACATTCGAGATTGCCGAAAACAGTGACTCGGCTACGCTTGATGATATCGTGGAAACGTTGGAAAGTCATGTAAGTCGCTTTGAATTATCATATCATTTATTTATTTCGTCTGTCTTTGCCTCTTCTGTGGTTGCAACCTGATTCAGACCGATCAATGATTTACGTTTCCTTGCTGCAAGCCCCATTCTTCTATCTTATTTTTTTTTTTTAACTCCTCGGCTTTCTCTTTGGAAACCTGTGAGCCACGTTGGTTGCGATAGTCAATGGCTATGAGGCTCACAAAGGCGTTAACAACTGCCCTAGGCTTCATCACGAAGCTACCTGTACATGGCAATTTTTCATAGGTGATAAATATCAGTCCTAACGTTGCAACTTCGATTTCTGTAAATCAGATCAGATCCAAGAATTTTGTGGTCAAGATGCGAGAAAAAGAATACCGTTCGGATGGAAACTTCCATGCTTCGTTCCATGGTTATCATGATGACCACCCAACAGAGTCTAAACCCAAACGTTTGCTGACAATGACAGACGCAGCCACTATTGGTGCATTTAGTGGTATTATTCTTTTTGGAGCAGTGCTGTTTGTTTGGAAGCTCTATGTGAGTGATAACCAGGCGGTTAATGCTAATCTAGAAAAGTTCTTAGCTCGGTTTCGGTTTTTAGTACAAAAAGGCGTATTCTAGGGCTGGTGTTTGATGGTTTTATCCTACTTCAAGGCGAAACTGACGAAAGAAAATTACAACAGAACTGTCTTTAAAGCTGCAAGCTGAGTCAAAAAGGTGCAAATCGCCTAAGTTTGCGCGCGGTGGCTCGGAATAGTTTACCTTTTTCTTAACAAAATTCCTCCATGGATTGATACTTCCACTGATTAATTTTGATTTCCTTAAAAAGAGTCAGTTCAGTTCCTTCGGCGAATGAAAGTAATGTAGTTTACTTGTCACAAGCGTTGGACTAGGAATATGCTGACAGAATTCATATTCCAAAATGAACCTAGTTCATGGCTTAACTCACCAGGCTCGACAATAAAGCACGGAACCGAGAAATCTGAGGTTTGAATCCTCGCGGAAAGGGATTGGTTTATCCCTAGCGGAACTAACAGTGATTTATGTCCGATGATGTTCTTCTGAAGCTTAATCTGTTCCAATAGATTGCTCCGCTCTTTATCAGCTTTAATCTTAAAACGAGCGTCAATTCATGTTGTTCCTTACAATAACTGAGTTTTATCTCCCATGTGATCCAGCTACGAAGGAAGAAGAAGCAGCCTGAGATCTGGCGAGACAAGATTGGGGAGAAGCTTCCAGAGGTGCAGTATGTCATTGAGGGGCCTGGAACCAGTGATGGACTTGCCCCCTAAGACTAACTCTGGGCTCGAGACAGAGCTGCCTGACCCTCAGGATCATGCTTGAACCGATTGCCGTCGAATTTCATCCTTTTGTGGCTTTCAACTGTGAAACACAGTGACTTTACTTAGACAAGGTGCAATGCTTTTTGTACGGCTGCGTATTAATGAGAAAGTTAAACCAACAATCGTTTAGTCTTTTATAGCCATCTCGCCTGTGAAAGTCAAGGGAAGGGAGAAGGGTCCTTTAGTTTTAGGCTCCCCTCTGAAAGAAGGATGGAAAGCGAGTTTTGCATGTTGTTCACACGTAACCATTTGTTCAGTGATCATACTGCCATTCAATAATAAACTTTTGATTAAAATAAACTGATGTTTCAGTGTTATGACGGTCAAACGAAATACTACACTGTACAACTTACAGACGTGCATTCAATCACGAGTGCATTGATGAAGTTTGCCGAGTGCAATGTAGGAATTCCTCGATCACTGCACTTTCCGAAGCTAAAGGCTTTTTTGTTAAACCAAATTTGTGTTTATTTGTGAAACACTAACAAAAAATTTAGGCTGTTACAAATTAAGGCTCACTGATGATAAGCTAAAAAAAAAGCAAGCACTTTAAAAGCTCTATTATATGCACACAAATCGTGAGGACAAGGTGGCATCAAGAGGCGATTTCATTTAGAGGCAGATAAATGAAAATTCCTATTAACAGCTTGTTTAGTTTGCGATTTTTTACCACTCGGTTTGTCTTTCCCAGGACAACTTATACAACATTATTCTTTGATTCCAAATCATTAAAAGTAATTGTGGCCCCATAATTTGTTTCACACAGATCAAGATTTTTAACATTAGCATTTATAGAGAGTAAATTCAGGGAGGTTTCCTTGTCTCTAACTGCACAGCGCTGCCACGAGAACGCATGATAGCACCACAAGGCCACCCACTCCAGCCAATGAGGCTGCGTTGCACATGTCTTCTTCACAGCAATCTATATCACAATCTGAAGCACCGAGATGGACTTTGCAAACGGGATTTGAAGTTTTTGTGCAATAGGTTGTAGGTCCACAGGACTTTGCAAACTGCTGGATGGTTTTATCTGCAGTGGAGTAGTGAACTTTATAGCAGGTGACGTCATTTCCGGTGCATGTCACCTCGCTTGACTTTTTATCATCGCAATCTTCCCAAGATTTAGTGCTTGTACATTTGTAACACTTCAGACCGAAGGCTAACACAAAAGAAACAGTATGTTAAATAATCGTGAGAATTACCTTCGGAAATTATTTGATTCTAGCCCGTTTGCCTCTTTCAACTGCGAATTCCAATCGGATAAATCCACGACATTAATTTTGGAGAAGCAGCATAATATGGTTTAGTATAGAGTGCTTTAATATCCAAAGTTCCCGGATCGTTATGACGCAGGACATCACGTACAAGTATAACGGCAGTAACTGAAGGAAATTGACAGCTTTGTTTCGGTTACTGACTTCGAAAGCGTCACATATTGTAAGTTTTTTAAATAGATATAGGAAGAGAAGGAGGTAGTTGGTAATTATTTGGAAGATCAAGAGGACAACTTTGGGGACAACTTTGAGGACAACTTTGTTCGGCGCTACATGAAAGCAAGTGTTTGCATATCAATAACCTCCATCATAGGTAAAGGCTTACTCTAAGTGACTGTGTGCCTGCGACAAATTGTAAACAAAACTATCATTGCAGGATTAAAACTAAACGACATACCTCAGCAAGTCATTCGATACAGTTTAACATGAAATAAATTGAACTGAAGAAAATCTACCGGATAGATTTTTTTGGTACCCAGTTCAATACGCGTAATAGTTTTGGAAAATCGTTCAATTCGGGAGAGGAGATTCAAAATGTATAATCACTTAACAAAATGCATAATCACTAAAACATCAACAAAGAAAAGGAAAGCAACTCCACGAATTTTACGTCAGATCTGTTCACTAGTTGAATATTTTATTATTGACTCGAACTAAGGACGAAGAACAAATTTAAATTGAGTACAAAATGACCAATCTCGAACGAACTAATTTTGAACGACCTCGAATAAATCCGAACACGACTTCGAATAAATCTGAACGAATTACACTAAAAAAAAATTGTTTTTTGTTTACAACTATATAGCAAACGAAACGAAAACAAACCTACAAATTATCTTACAAAACAAAAGACGTTACGCAATAAAAAAAAACCCTCAATACGACGAAAAAGATTACGTAGTGTTAAATAAGCACGATCCATAAATTAAATGTTCTTTTGTCCAAGATCAAACATGCAACGAAGTATCGTCGAACCGCCTTTGAATGTCTGAGCTATAAGCGATATCTAAATCTCAATTTACTGTCAGTTTCAGTTTCACCTCTTGAAGGATGGATGGAGGATCTTATGAGAAACACAACACCTCAATTTGAACAAAGAATTTGTCTCCGCTTACAGACGAATAGTCGTGAGGCTCCCCTTAAATGAACTCAGAAAACAAAGTCGGTAGCTTATGCGAAGGAAAACATGATAAAATCTAAGATCTTGCGAGGAGTCTAACTTCAGAC